GTGTCCGGTCTGGGGTGTCCAGTCTGGGGTGTCCGGTCTGGGGTGTCCAGTCTGACTGTGCCTTTGTCCTTTTGCCCCATGGGTGTCCCTTTGCCTCTGTGACCCACTGCTGTCCCTGTGCCATCGTTGTCCCTTTTGTCCCCATGTCCCAAGGCTGCCACATGCCCCAGAGCTGTCCCTGTCCCTGCCCCATGGCTGTCCCTGTGCCTCTGTGCCCCACAGCTGTCCCTGTGTCCCTTTGCCTCATGGTTGTCCCTTTGTCCCCGCGCCTCAAGGCTGCCCCATGCCCGTCCCTGTGTCCCTGTGTTCCTGTGCCCCATGGCTGTCCCTTAGTCCCCATGCCATGGCTGTCCCTATGCCATGACTGTCACTACCATGGCTGTCCCTGTGTCCACAGCTGTCCCTGTGCCATGTTTGTGCCTTTTGTCCCCATGTCCCATGGCTTTTCCTGTGCTCCACGGCTGTCCCTTTGTCCCTTTGTCCCCGTGCCGCACTTTGTCCCCATGCCCTGTGGCTGTCCCCATGCCCCATGACTGTCCCTTTGTCCCTGTGTCCCCATGCCCCACAGCTGTCCCTTTGTCCCCATGCCATGACTGTCACTGTCACAGCTGTCCCTTTGCCCCTGGGCCCCACGACTGTCCCTGTGCCCCACATGTGTCATTGCACCATGGTTGTCCCTTTGTCCCTGTGCCATGTCTGTCCTTTTGTCATGACTGTCACTGCCATGGCCATCCCTGTGCCCCGGTGCCCCACAGCTGTCCCTGTGTCCCTGTGCCCCATGGCTGTCCCTATTTATTTGCCCCATGGCTGTCCCCATGTTCCATGGCTGTCCCTTTGTCCCTTTGTCCCTTTGTCCCTGTGCCACCCCAGCACCCACCGAGCTGAAATCCTGATAAAAGCAGATAAAACCCCATAAAAACAAATCAAACCAAATAAAACCCNTGGGGTGTCCAGTCTGGGGTGTCCGGTCTGGGGTGTCCATTCTGGGGTGTCCAGTCTGGGGTGTCCAGTCTGGGGTGTCCGGTCTGGGGTGTCCAGCCTGGGGTGTCCGGTCTGGGGTGCCCAGTCCAGGGTGTCTGGTCTGGGGTGTCCAGTCTGGGGTGCTCCGCTGGCTGGGGATGGACAGGAGGGGAAGAGCAGGGGTGGGGTCAGGGGGTTTGGTCACTCCCAGAGCCCAATGTGGGGTCTTTGGCATGGCTGGCTCATGTCCCTTTGTCCCCACGTCATGGCTGTCCCTGTGCCCCACGGCTAGCCCATTGTCCCTTTGTCCCCATGCCATGACTGTCACTGCCATGGCTGTCCCTGTGTCCCTTTGTTCATGGCTGCCCCTGTGACCCACAGCTGTCCCTGTGCCCCGTTGTTGTCCCTTTTGTCCCCATGTCCCAAGGCTCCCCCATGGCCCATGGCTGTCCCTTTGTCCCCATGCCATGACTGTCCTTTTGTCATGACTGTCACTACCATGGCTGTCCCTGTGTCCACGGCTGTCCTTGTGCCATGGTTGTCCCTTTTATCCCTTTGCCCCATGGCTCTTCCTGTGCCCCACAGCTAGCCCATTGTTCCTTTGTCCCCATGCCATGACTGTCCTTTTGTCACGACTGTCACTGCCATGGCTGTCCCTGTGCCCCTGTGCCTCACAGCTGTCCTTGTGCCATGCTTGTCCCTTTGTCCCCACGCCTCAAGGCTGCCCCATGCCTGTCCCTGTCCCTGTGTCCCTGTGTTCCTGTGCCCCATGCCTGTCCCTGTCCCTGTGTCCACGGCTGTCCCTTTGTCCCCATGCCATGGCTGTCCCTATGCCATGACTGTCACTACCATGGCTGTCTCTGTGCCATGTTTGTGCCTTTTGTCCCCATGTCCCATGGCTCTTCCTGTGCCCCACAGCTGTCCCATTGTCCCCATGCCCCATGACTGTCCCTTTCCCTTTGTCCCTTTGTCCCCGTACCCCACTTTGTCCCCATGTCTTTTCCTGTGCTCCACGGCTGTCCCTTTGTCCCCATGCCCCACAGCTGTCCCTGTTTCTTGCCCCACGCCTGTCCCATTGTCCCTTTGTCCCCGTGCCATGACTGTCCTTTTGGCATGGCTGTTCCTGTGCCCCATGGCTGCCCCTGCCCCGTGGCTGTCCCTTTGTCCCTGTGCCCCATGGCTATTCCTGTGACCCATGGCTGTCCTTTTGTCCCTTTGTCCCTTTGTCCCTGTGCCCTATGGCTCTCCCTTTGTCCCTTTGTCCCTTTGTCCCCGTGCCACCCCAGCACCCACCGAGCTGAAATCCTGATAAAAGCAGATAAAACCCCATAAAAACAAATCAAACCAAATAAAACCCCACAAAACCCACCCGAGAACGGCTCCTCCAGCTCCTCACTCGCTCCCTACCGATAAATTTAATTTAAATATTTTTTACCACCATTAAAATAAAAGCATTTCATGGGTGTGGAGTATCGGTTTGTGGACACGGCTGCCTGTCCCAAACTCGGGTTTAAATCTCATTATTGAGGATTTTCCTGCTTTTCCTGGGCTCAAAGATGCTCGGAATTCACCTATGGAAAAATTTAACTTTGAATTTGGAGAATTTCCTTGCCCAAAATCCCATTCAGAACGAGGGAGGCGGAAAATTCAGCGAGGAAAATCAACCCGGGACACAAAGATCTCACCGAAAYGCCGATTTTTTTGAATTTTACAGATTTTGACCATTTTTTTTCACTCTGAACAAACGTTCTCTCCGTTTCTTCAGGGCTCTGGGTGTCCCTGAAGCTGCTCCC